TTTCATTTCGTATTTATAATTATGATTGGGAAAATTCTTCCAATTGGCTTAATATGAATGGGAACGTAATGAGGTCTTCCAGATTAAAAGTTAGACATATTTTGTTTGAGGGGTTACTTATTCCCTCCAAACATTTTCAGTGTGGTAATACCTAAACTCCATGTATTCGCTTTAATTGAAATGTTCCCTTGTTCTTATCCTCGGCGGAGGGATCAAGGCAATGCCCAAAACCGGAAGTTAGTATGATGTATGATTGGAGGGGTGTGCGATGGACTTACCTCCACGTGGTGCACCCTGGGCAGCGTATACTCACACCTTACCTCCACGTGGTGCACCCTGGGCAACGTATTCTCATTCGGCTACCTCCACGTGGTGCACCCTGGGCAATGTATACTCATACACCTCCACGTGGTGCACCCTGGGCAGCGTATACTCATACGACAAAAAATCTATTAACTGACAGTTGATTTCTGACTTCTAACTACCATGACCCCACAGCATGTCATATTCTACCACTTTCACAGTACTCACCTCACCTTTTTCTCTGCCTTTGTGTCTGTCATTCTGTCTGTCTCTTGTACATCTTTGAATCTCTCTTCTGCTCCCCCCCCCTATCGAATTTTTCTCACTTTGATGTTCCTCCTCTCTGTGAAGCCCGAAGTCAGCCAAAGGACTAATGATAATTATCTAAACGCCTGCCATTTGATATAAATAAATAAATGGTTGATTGGAAGGCATGAATGTTATATTAATTAACTTCCAAATGAACCATCTGCATTGGTAGAAACTCCTACAGGACAAAAAAGATCTCTGTCGAGTAAAAGACAGTAGATGTGACAGAATGAAATAGAGCTTTGCAAATGGTATTAAACGAAGCAGGCGTAGAACATATATTCATCACAAGAATAGGAGAGCCACTATGTATACAAATGGAAGTAGCGCGTTGGAAGATGTTACCAATAGGGGTTTTCCTCTCGTGATAAATTCGAGAATTCTATATATTTGACTAGTGCGTCAAAATGAAAGGTAATCTTTGAGGTGAAAATGCTTTACAGGGAATTGCTAGCCTTTTTAATTGCTAAAATAAAAACAAGAGAATTGCTACCTGAGGCGAAGTTAAGTTTCACACTGAATTTCCCTTCAGTCATGATTCCCTATCTAACTTAAAAGTCAATGGAATTCATTTTATATAAATCGTGCGAATATCAGTGCGTTATATATTTATTAAAAATCCAGGTTAGATTTCTATGTGAGCGATCATAGTTAATTTGAGGAAGTTCAGCGCTTATCAAACCCATGTGTTTTAACTCCAAACTCGTACTGAGAAAAAAATGTTCTACCTCGAGTGAACTCAACTTTCCTTCACTAATCTGTTTATCGGCGTGCTTTCATTTTATACTCAATTCAAAAAAATAAGCAAATACCCCAATTCAAGTCACAGTCACAATCTCTCTTTATCTTATTCTGAAGAAAAGGCTAGAAAGAACGATAGCTTGCCCGGGTCTTCTAGTTCTTCTCAAAACTCTTTCCCATAACCCCTTTCTCAATTTTTTTTAATTTTTAATCCTTTAACTTCGAATTATTTTTTGAAAAAATGTACTCAACAGCACTCACACTTGTCTCACAGCAGACTGATGTCGCTGATTGATGAGTTTTGGTGGTGCACCACTCTAAGGTTATATACGTATTGAACATGATTCAAATGGCAATAGCGCCTTCTGTTACGAGTCTAGTACCAATGAAGCATATTCTAAAAGAGGACCGCACAGTTCTAAAGGCGTTAAAGGCTTAAATATGCAGTGATTCATGCAAATAAATTCACTTTCATGACAAACTGGCATTGATACAAGGAGTTAAAACGTTGGGTTCTCAGACTTCTTTCAAATTGTATTTGGACAAGTTTTATTCGATCTAGGGTAAAATTTATTTATCTATATCAAATTTACAGGCGTTTTGATAGTTATCATCAGCCCTTTAGTTGGCAGACATAAAGGTAGAGAAAAAGGTAAGGTGAGTATTGTGAAAGTGGTCGAACATGCATTATAGTGGGATCATGATAGTTTGAAGCGTTGGAATATGATATAGAGTGGGGTGATGGTAGTTTGAAGTCAGAAGTCAACTGCCGATCAATAGACTTTTTGCAAGTCAGAAGTCAACTGCCGATCAATAGACTTTTTTGTCTTTGAAGCTAGAAGTCACTGCCATACAATGGGGTGATGGTAGTTTGAAGTCAGAAGTCAATAGCCATATTAATAGACTTTTTGCCGTATGAGTATACGTTGCCCAGGGCGTAGGTAATAGACTTTTTTGCCATATGAGTATACGTTGCCCAGGGCGCACAAATAGATTTTGCCGTATGAGTATACGTTGCCCAGGGTGTACCACGTGGAAGTAAGTCTATCGCACACCTCTATCTAGGATAACATAGATTCATGGAAGGAACGTTCATCATAATACCTTGAAAATGATTTATATTAAGACAATCATCACCTTTAAACTTATCCTTAAAGCATTTTTTACGTATGGAGTCGATCAAAGTAGCTCTTTTATATTGCTCTAAAGAGAACTGGTGCTGCATATTCCGAATACATAATTAGCTAAATGCACATACTGTCCCTACGCTAAGGTAATAACCAATCAAAATCCGTATTGAATTTGTCCTCATGTAACCTCATTGGCTGAAGCAGTGAGGCAGCAAACTGAGCAGCAGAAGCTACAGCAGACGAGCATTCTCCCATCTTCATAAAGCTAGAAAGCATTTTGCTCCAGATTTTCCTCTTTATAAATCCTATTTATGGGAGACAGTGTCTCTTCTCGAGTAAAGACCCGATTGAAGGAAATATGGAGGGCTATGAAGAGGACCAAAACTCTAGAATCTTCCAGTCTCGAGACTCCTCTTCGTCGTTGCCTCAATGTCTTCGATCTGACCCTCCTTGGCTTGGGTTTGTCTAGATCAATGCATCGAATATATCAGATATGTACTTTAGAATTAATTGAATTTTTTCTCTTTCAGGAAATATGACTGGATCGGGAATCTATGTTCTGACTGGAACTGTTATTCGTGACAAATCGGGTCCTTCTATTTTTCTTTCGTATCTTCTTGCAGGCATCACTGCCTTTTTGAATGCTCTTTGTTATGCCGAACTGGGATCTCGTATTCCTAAAGTGGGTTTTATAAATACGCCTTATACTAAGCCAAACTGTGTGATATCCAATCTT